ATTTCACTCAACTTTTAAAAGCATTCTTTTCTTGCCGGGTGGGATGTTGTGGGGAAATTTAAGGTAATTCTTGTTTTATATTAGGTTGGTGCAAAAATAATGAGCGTTTTCTAAGAACTTTTTTCAGGACAACTTTTCTCCATCAAACTTCTTTCTTTGTAAGGGTTTCAGCACAATTTTAGGAAGCCCTTTTCATGCTCTATCTAATGATGTTCGAAAGGGACTTCTAGCCCACTCTGTTAAGAATTTACAGAGCTTCAAATAATCGCACTCAAAACCAGATTTTCGTTGCATTCATTCTCCTGGCCAGAATTTGAGCGCAAATGAAGATGGTTTATCGAAAATATAGCCTCTATACGTATTGGAAATTGTCTACATTATGCGTATTTGAACATATTTTTCGAAGTTATCTAAAGTGAGATATAGGCGGCTTAACATGGGTAATGGTTGGGGTCATTTTAGTGCCCATAACTTTCTCTTGTAGAATGCAGTCGCTCAAACTTTGCTCATCTCTGTAAGCGTGAGGGTAGAAATCCTATTAGCAGTTTTTGCAAAGACATCCAGCTGTTCAGTACGCAGAAAATTAGAAAATTCTATACTTCGAGGTTTTGAGGCCTGTTGAAAAAATGCTGAAAAAGTTGATATTTTTTAATTTCGATTTTTCCCTCTTCGCTGATCTTTTTTCTGCAAGCCCTTTCCATGTATATTTGTACTACTGGCTTGCGGCTACAAGATAGGCTGCTTAGAAATTATAATAATAAAGTGTGAAAGGAGTTATGTTTTGTCAAAAAAAAAGACTTCAGAAAAAAACTTTTTTTGTTTTTCAATCCGTATTTTTCTGCCCATATAAGATATGAGTATAGCTCAATGTGCGCTGTACTGGGAAAGGTTCGCTGCATCTGATGGTCCTTATCACATTTAAAAATGTAGATTTTGTGAAAAGTTATAGCAACTTAAAGTGAAGAAAGGGAGAACGCTCATTATTTTCGCACCAACCTAATAAATGTTCGTCAAGCTGGACGCAGAAAATGCAAAGTATATTCTGAGTTGTAAACGTTTTTGCTACGTAAAATTAGTGTGATCGCAAGCTTTTTCTAAGAAACTGCCAATCCTGAAGAATTGTTAGTGTTCAATGCGTTCGTGTGCGACAAATTTTTAAAAATGGAGACTTCCGAAAATTATTCAAAAATACTTGTAGGCAAATGCAGACTTTATAAACTCTCTATTTTTGCACGTTTTTCCTCCTTCCAAGTGTTATAGAACCTTTTGAAGATCTAAGGAAATTGCTGAAATTGGATGATAAGAATAATAGACTTGAAACTTTAGCGATTACTTTGATACCCTTTTCACTTTTCATGCAAGCAGCTTGGTCGCAACGTCCAACGCGAATTGATCGCTCGCCCACACAATTTTTTAAGGTAAGGAGCAGCGCGACAAAGAGTTCTTTAGTCGCGAAATTTTTTGGTGTGTACAGGCTGGTAGAGATCAAAAGAAAACAAGTGCTTGACTTGTACTCGTGAAATAAGGGTAACTCAAAGACTACAAAAGCAAACAGTGCATATACAAGGACGCTAGAATAAGATAAACGCGTCGTTTAATAATGCAAAGGACATATTTCTCTCATTAATTTGCGATCAGAAAAAACAGCAAGAGCTTTCGCAACCATGACAATTATACAAAGTAGTCCCAGCAAAAGAATTAGATTTTTCCGATGCGGCTCCTACGTACCGTCCTGACATTTGCAGTCCATTATGTATACACACCTCACTCCACCACGACATCTATGTAGGGGGCTGCATGCATTAACATCCCTGGAGATAGGGTATCGTAGCTCAAAGAAGCTTCATATCCTGAAGCTCCAAACTTTTAGATCTCACACTGTTTACCTATCCGTAACTATTCCTACCATCCTTCACTATGAGCACTATGAGCATTGAACAGTAGCGAGAAGCTCTACAAATCGCATTTTCTAGTTTTTTGCAAGAATACTTGATGATCCCTGGCGGCGCGTCTTTTATCCATAATCATTTTCTTCCTTCGAAGTCAACGAAAACCTTTCAAAGTTTACTGACTATCTAACCCAGCAGTGCTAAGCTTTTTGATAAGAACCGATGACGTATCATAATCATGAATCGCGAGTCGAAAGTTGGAGTTTATCAAAAACCCGACATTTCAAAAAAATTTGTTCTTATCGGCAACATGGTTAGCACTGCTGGGTTAGGACCTTGAAATGTTTTCGTTGACTTTGGAACAAGAAAAATGGTTCTAAAGGAAAAGACGGTCGGCCACAGGGGACATCAGGGGATTACACAAAAGCTGGAAAATGCAGCCTGTACAGCTCGGTCCTGTTCAATACGTTTATAGTAAGGAATGGTAGGGATACTTGAGGATAGGTAGACAGCGTAAGTTCTGTACAACTACAGCTACAGCTACTACATGCGGGCCTAAGTTGGGGTCGTTCTCTTTTGAAAGACATCCTGTGAATCTTGTGTTTCATAGTTGCGTGGCTGTTGCGCGCCGATTCAAGCTGTAGACTCTAACTTTTAAATTGCTTGCACCTCGTTTTTTTAAGTGGACAAATGCCTTCTCCTGAGAGGAGAGTTTTCCTACTTGAGGAACTTGCTTGTGCCCACAGGTACCTAAAAGGAGCTCGTATGCACTGGTTGTATTTTATTCGAATGGTTTTTGCTCCCAAATATCGTTTTGATGCTTGAGAAGAAATTTGCTTTGTCGTTTTTCCGTTGTTAATTCGTTTTTTATTTGTTTTATTTCCAGTCAAAAATATTAGTGGCAATAAAACCAATTGGAAAAGACGGCATAATGTTATGCGAATATCATAGGCATACTGGGAGGGCGGGCGTCAAGTTGCTCAGATAAATAGCTGTCAAAGCCGTTAATCAGCAAATACATTTTTGCTGTGCAGCATTTTTCGCTCAAAATTGATTCTGTTTCCAAATACCATTTGATTCAACTGGCTTGGCATCGGCAAAGGCGGGGCTTCGTGACCTAATTAAGGCCAGGTAATGATCAGAGAGCGCCCGCGCGAGAGAGACGCAGGTGCGTCGCAGGCGCGAGCGGCCTCAATTAGATAACAAAACCCCGCCCTAATGGTGCCAAGCCAGTTGAATCAAAGGTTACAAATCTAACTATCAGTGGATAATCTGCATCTTGTTTGTATCAACCTTGACATTGTCTATACAAAGGTTCTATCTGAGCCCAGACATACTTCCCAAGCATTTCAAGCCTAACTTGGCATGAAGTTTTCTTTGAAGGACGAAAAAGGGTGCTAAGCAAACTCGCGAATTAAAATCGAATTTGAGATTGAAACGCAGGGATTGCTTTGGTTCCAAGTTATTTTCTTCAGAAAAAAAAACGGAAAAAAGTGAGGGGTAGAAAAAAACTTGTTGTTGTTTTAGGTGCTTTTCGTTATCCAGATCCAATTTAACAGCGACTTGTCTTAACATACGTACGTGATCTGAGAAATTTTGCCCACAGTTTTATGTGATATTTCTCCATGCCACGTCTTAAGAGAAAAACCAACTCATTTGGACTTACAAAAGAAGGATAATTACTCTAACAAGGGGAGAATCGCAGTGGAGAAGTGGAATGAAGTTTATATAGTTATATATGTGTTTTCATGAGCCGATTTCAAATCTGCCTTCCAGATCTGCTGCGCGGATTCTCTGGAAAAAGAGTTGTTAGCAGTCAAAAGTGTAAGTCGTTAGGATCTTGATGCATGATGCGCATTCAAATCTACTTGGAAGTGCATAATTGGCAAGGTATTGAGTGTGCTACCTACGATCGATACGCTCTTGAAAGGGAGAACTGCTAAGTTATGCAGAATTCATAACTGAATTGCGTACACATTTTAGCAATTGAGAAATTTTTAATGTAGTGTAATAGCGTGCATTGCATAACAGCTTCTTGGATAATCGCCGGGAGCAGCGGCCATGCAATTTGGGCAAGCGGGCACCAAAAAAATAGTTCGTTGATTTCTTGCGGGCCGCTTGCAAATTTGGATGGGTTGTTGGTCAATTCTTAGACGAATGCTCGGAGAACAATCGCGGTCTTATTGATTAGCTGCGCTCAGTGGCCGCATTCTCGCGGACTTTCGCGATAATAGGCAAAATTATGGAGGGCCGCACGGTCCTTTGTGAAGGACCGTGTGGCCTTCAGTAATAGCGCACAGCCCGTAGGTACTTTCCGCTGAGAGAAAGTACTCAAACTCAGGTAATCAAACCACCGATGACACCTCTGCCACACAGAGCCTCACCTTTGCTCGGTATACGCCCGAAACAGTGTAAAAAGAGCCGGAGCGCCTGCTGAAAGCTTGGCCAGAATCGCTGAGAAGAGTAATTGGCAAGCGCTTGCAGATAATTTTGTATTGGTGCCCGCTGGCGGAACACGGAAGTACCGCTCGCTGAAGGTTTGGCCACGCCCCAAAATTTTGCGGTCCGCCTCTCAGACAATCGCCGGGGGCAGGCGGGCACCGGAAAAATATATTGCTGATCTCTCGCACCCCGCTCGCGGATTTTTTGGAAAGCAATCAGGACTTTTCGGAAGACCGCTTGCTGAGTTAGCGGATTTTTGAGAGACCGCCTGTTGAATTTTTTTCGCTCTTATCTTTTGCAGATATATTGCTGAATCTCTGAGGAATCGAGAACTCAGCAAGCGGTCTTCCGAAAAGTTCTGATTGCTTTCCAAAGAATCCGCGAGCGGGGTGCGAGATATCAGCAATCTATTTTTCCGGTGCCCGCCTGCCCCCGGCGATTGTCTGAGCTGCCTCCGGCTATTATCTGAGAGCCTGAATTGAAATAGCATTTAGAGCCTTTCTGAGCCTTTAATGTTGATCAGTGAACTGTCACTACATATATGACTCCACATGGAAACTTACTACACATACATGGGATCTGTTTGTTGAAATTCACCCTGTTTTTTTCCTCAAGTGTTTATGCTAAACTTATTATTATACATGTGTTAAATATAGTAGCACAATTTCAGCATAAAGCACCAGCAAGATGATGTTTTTGAATGTCATTCTCATGGTAGGAGTTCATGTTGTGCTTCTTTGTCTTCATATTTGATTCGCGACATTTTCAGACACCGCTTATCTTTTTCGTGCAGGCTATACATAGACGAAACAGACCTCCTCCTATCGAGATTCTTCGACCTGGTGCACATCATTTTCTTCCGGTTCCACCAATAGATCCATTTCATATACCGGATCACGCCCCTCGACCACCAACTACGACAAGACGTCAGTGGGGACGTGCTCGCTAAACTTGAGAATTGCTTCTGCAATTTGTCGCTTCTATGTTAGTGCGAAATTGCATTAATAAACTTAAATCAACTGATTGCTTAATTTCTAGTACTGCACTCAGGAAGATTCTGCCAAGCTGGATCGGTAAGGCTAACTCAATACTTTTATATGAATTTGCAGAGATTTGAAGAAGGAAACGCAAGAAAATTGTAGTAATAATTATTAAGGTATCTTTAAGTCGTTTTTTGATTGGATATGCAAACCTGCACACAATGCGCAATGACCGACGGCATCTTCTTCAGTAACTTCTCAGTAAAACCCTTTGTAGCGTAACAAACTGTGTAAAATTGTGTACTACTGACAAACTCCATCAAACCGAAAAAACTCAACGAAACAAAGGGAAACTACTGGAAATAGGTAGGTTTTGAACTTATGAATACCGCGCAACGTCAAGTACCGTGCATGGTGTGCAGCACGCATATTAAGTTACAAATGACTCGAGAATATACAAGCTCCTTTATATCATTACTCCTTTATTGAAAATTTCGAAAGCATATAGATCGGAATCTAAGCGAAGACCTTCACATAAGTTATAGCACAACTTTAATCTTACACACTTTTGTAAGAGCTTGTCTTCAACTTAATGCTAAGCATATTTCCAACAAATACCAAACAAAAATAACAAGTGAAGCTTTCCTGTGCAAAAATGGCCTGTAGTAAACCCCCCTTCAGGGGATCTGGCCTGAGACGGACCTAAGTTGATCGTATGGCGCCTCGGTCTAGCATCCCGCGAGCTATTGATCTAGATGCGGATCGCTTTTCAGGCATAGAAATTTTGCGCGCTATCAAAGAGGAAATACCTACACCTCTTGTGCAGGTCTGATCAAACAGGTATGTGACTGGTACTCAGCCCGCACGACCATGGTTCGGCGCCGGACAGTGGCAAATTTTTGAGCATCACTGAGCAATCTTTGATAGCGGCCACTATCAAAGACAATCGATAGTGGCCGCTATCAAGGAATTCACAAACCAAATGAATGCACAAAACATAACTGCTTTTTTTTAACCAAAATTCCATAAAAAGTGGAGGATGTAGGGACAAAATCGAATGGAAATAAATAAAGAAATTGTCGCTCTGAGTAGCTTTTGTAGAAGAAACCTAAGCAAACTCTGCAAAAAGGAAAAAACCTATTCTTCTGTTTTTTGCCGAAATCAGCTGTTCATTGATCCTTTCCTTTATGGGCACCGGTATTATGCAGTTTTGTGCGTTCTTGTACTGCAACATTACGTCAAGTACGATGTCCCGTAAGTTACTCACGAGCAACTTACGGGATTTTTTTCTGCGTCTCATCTCTTGCACACTATTTCGGTCAATTCATCTCAAAATCGAGGCTGCTCTTACGGATTTCAGGTGAATTCATCGCGGCACATGCCCTGACACTAACCCTTCAGATCAGGTCGCATTCCTAAATATGTGAGAGTGACAGTCAGTTTATCTTAAATACCTCTACTCAGCCTCACACTTGAGATCATTTGAAGTGAAGTGGGGTTTACTATGGGCCTATATGTTTCTGGTATCCAGGTGCAGTACCAAAGAAAGGTAACCGATTTGTCAGTTTAACCACGTCGATTACAGCGCTAGCAATAAAAAAATGTCCATACGTAAAGCAAAAAAGTAGTGCTTTTCATTTCTGCGAACTAGACTATTTAAGATCAAGCAGTCGTTCGCTCGCTTGCTATTCAATAACAGCATGCATTGGTAACATTTTATACTGTCTTTTTGAAGGGTTCTAAAAAGTTGTGCGCCCAACTAGTCATAGTTTACTAATCTGGTAAGGTGCCACATGCTTCGCATTGTCTCATCAGCAACCAGCAACCTGCTAGGTAATTTTCGTTTTGTTGTCTTAAATATCAAATGGTTCCAATGTTTTTTGTTTTCGAACCCTAAAAGTAAAATAGAGGCCACGAAAAAATCTGCTAATACCCAAAGTTTTTTTTAATCTTATTCGCTACGAAGAACGAGTTTTGATCAGATTTAGCGACTTTTGCTGTATGCGATAACTACACTCTGCTCTACAGGAGATCACGGTGCAATCCTCGAAGGTCTTAACGTTCATAATTGAAACTATAAGTATACATTCTTGTCTAGCGTTATGCATTATTTGTGCAAAATTGAAGCTTGACTCGCTTGCAGAAATCAGCTTTGTACAATTTTCATTGAGTTACGCCAGACAAGTTTTTTTCTAAATGACTGAAAATTTTATAATTATTGCTTGAAAATGATGAAAATCTAAAATGTTAAAGTTTTTGCTCCGTAGCCTGGTATTCACGTTTTTTCCGAAAAACTCAAACGAAGTCTTTAAATCGAAAAATCAAAGTATTTGGGAGATACGCCCAAAGCCCAATCAAAAAATTACAAAAGCTGCTCGGAGACTTAGCCAAACGTAGTGAGCAAAGTTTGTGTTATTCCATGACATGTCAGATTGAGTTAGAGTTTTTTATAAGAGTCCGCAATGAAATACTTAGCAATCTTCGGAACGAAAAATCTTCCTCGTACTTGTCGCAACATTTTTCGTGTATGCTTGCAGTTGCTAAGGGTGCAACAGAGATGGCAATACAGTTTATTACATACGTTGATCATTTTTGAAAGCTATTAGGGTTATTGGTAAAAAATGGGGCAGCTTGATTTTTATTACATTTTAGGGGTTTTCGTTCTCATCAACAACAAGCAGGCTGCAACTCAAACGTCGCTTACATAACCGACCTTCGCCTATTATTCTGGCCACGTTACCGCTCCTCTCTCATAACCGTACGCGTGGCGCCATGAAGAACTCAGACAGGGTTTTTGGAACATCGCTCATTCTTGCGCTGCTATAACACGAAGTCGTAAAGCAAATGACACACCATTCAAAAGAGCTCTTCAAGCACTTTAAAACAGTATATCAACATACAGGATTTCTTTCTATCTCCGGACAAAAGAAGCGAAATACCTGAAAAATCGCGATTTTTTCGCGCAATAAAAAACCAAATGTTCATGATTGCCTCTATTTTCCGTAGGATAAAGTCTAAGGTAATCTGCAAATGGATGAATAGAGCGTAAAAGCTCTATCTGATGGTGCCTAGAAAACATGTGTTCATCTGCAAGGAATTGAATAACGTGTATCTTTGTACACGAAGCTGCCAATGACCATATCTCCTAACTTTGAAAGTTGAGGCCATCAAGCCGTAGTGAGTTTAGTGACTGTCTCACCACCCACTCCAGCAATGGTACTTTGGGTGGTCTCACATGTTTCACTGCGCAGATACTGCCCAAAGTTTATAATTTGTCAAAGTGACTAGCTTTGCATTTCAGCCACTATAAGAATTATTACGTATGTAAATGGCTTTATATAGGTATTTCCTAAAAGAGAATAATTTCAAAACTGGAAAGTTCAACCACTTTTTTGAAAAATCTACAGTTATTTTCTAGGTGCCCCACTTTTTACAGATCACCCTAATATATGGTTAGTGAAGTGGAGCTTCGCAAACTAGCAGAACTCTTGACCAACAAACTTCATACAGCATCATCTATCATGACTTATAATAAGCCGCTTATTTGTCGGTCTGTAAGTCGTCTGTTACGAAAATACAGTGAGGAATGATTTACAATTCTTTGGAGCATGTGAGATTCTGATGGCGAGTATGGTTCATTTTTAACTAGGACACTCACCGCAAACAACCTGGCAATAATCTAAAAGAAAGCCTTCACATCGTAAGTTTATCATCGTTTCTTGATGGCCAGTGCGAGCATCTGCGAAGCAGAGGTGAAGCACTGGTACATATACAAAATCAAATTGGCAGTTTGGAGGGTATGTGCTTTATAGAAACGCGCATCGCTCGACCGAGACAGCTAAAACTTTGCACAAGTGTGTTTCCGACCCCTGCGCAGATGATAGGCTACTTTTTGCGATGATTCGTTTGGTTCTTCTATCGATTTATTGATTTGTTTACTTTCTTAAGGAATTGAAGGCTTATCATGTCTGGTCAGACGTTTTCCCACATCATGTTTAGGAGAGCGGTGAGGCTCATTTTCTCCTCAGAATCAAGAGAATGTGGTTTCGAAGCATGTCCAAGAGTAAGTCATCCATCTTATACAGGGTGTCCCAAAAAAATGTGCCTACTGTTTGATTGTAAATAACTCCCTAATGTAGTGTTTCGAGATGTTTTAGGTACCGTTTTGTAGAGCGAGGTCAAACTTAGATTTGCAGTATGGAGCGAATCGTCTATCGCTCTTCATTACTGTAGGATTACGGTACAAAATTCGACAAGGATTTTAGGGCCATTGGAGGCTATATTCGGCCTCCGAACAGAACCAAACAAGCCAAAAACTCTTGTACTACGGTAATGGGAGCCGCTGATTCCGATTTTGAAATTTCCATTTTTCTATGATGCTTCTTTCCAAAGTTATCCCAGGTTAATCGTAATAACTCAGTTCCCAGCATTTGTCCTAAATGTGATTACAACGTCAAAAAAGCTGAAAACACTCGTAAAAAGTTGTTAGGTAGAATCAGCACGCGCGAAAACCCTAATACACGATTTTTCAGAATTTTTGAAAAAAGTTTTATTAAATAGTAAATTTCACATTAAATCCATATGTTGGAAGTTCTTACCGTAATCCTACAGTAATGAAGAGCGATCGATGATTCGTTCCGTACAGTAAATCTAAGTTTAACCTCGCTCTACAAAATGGTACCTAAAGCTTCTCGAAAGACTTCGTTACAACAGAGTTATTAACAATCAAACAGTAGGCACATTTTTTTGGGACACCCTGTATATAAAGCTGAATGTCTGTTTGTATGTATGTCTGTCTGTCTGTCTGTCTGTCTGTCTGTGTGTACGTATGTTCCGAATAGAAAATTCCATTTCTGAACCGATCGGGACCAAACTTGGCACACATACACTTCGGGCCCCGGCGGGTGTCATAGGCTACTTTTCGTATCGATCGATATCGATTTTATCGATTTTTTGCAAAATTTGAGCTACGGGGCTGGGAGTTGGCACAGGGGGTAAGTGAGCATGGGGATTCCGAATACAATATTAGTTTTTAAAATCGTGCATTACTTTTATCGATTTTAACGATTTTTTTGCAAAGTTTGAGATTTGGCACAGGGGGGTAATCGAGCATGCTGATCACCCCCGTGGGGATCGTAATCAGCATGCTCGATTACCCCCCTGTGCCAAATCCCAGCCTCCTAGCTCAAATTTTGCAAAAAATCGATAAAATCGACATCAATCGATAACGAAAAGTGGACTGTGACACCCGCCGGGGCCCGAAGTGTATGTGCGCCAAGTTTGATTCGGATAGGTTAAGAAATGGAATTTTCTATTCGGAACATACGGCGGAGCCGGGTAAGCCAGCTAGTAACATATAAGAGGGGGGGAGCTCGCACTGCAGGTACACGGTGGCCCGGGCTGGCCCGGGAAAGCCAGTCAGTGTTCTATAAGTAGCATCTGTATGGTAGGGGAAATGAGAGTACTCCCCGACTTTTAAATCACTAAATGTAATGCAGAAGTTTTTCGTAATTGTAGTCAATATGTGTTCTCTCAAGCAGCTAGGAAAGAAATTTGAGAGCAACATGATGTTTAGTGATGTTTATAGTGGTGAGTCATGCCAGATATGCCCATGCACAGTGGAAACAAATTTTTGCTATCGCTTTCATATCCTTAGCAGAATCCTGGCGATTGAACTGTGACCGAGATACCTAATCTATGCCGGAAGTCTCAAAGTTTTCTAAAAATCTACGACACTAGTGTGTTGAAGGCACTTCAAAAATACACGATCAAAACACAATTTTAAGCAATTTCTTTTTTGATTCATTGACAAAGAACAACTGCATTTATTGCTTGTGTGATTGGAAATTTTAATATGGGGCCAGCTCTTTCGTTCGCTTTCTTCCAAGGCAAGGCTCAAAATTCTGTAGTTGATGATGCCCGATCGAATCTCCTACGGATCAATTTTCAAATCCGTCATAATTTCAACAATGTAGATTTGCCCAAACCCTCTCTACAAATTCTTTTGGTTCATTGATGGATGAGCTGTGGTGGTGAAATGCATGACTGAGTACTCACATAATCGTTTCCATCTTCAGCATAGAAGCATAACGCTAGCGAAAGTCAAATATGCAATTTAAAATCGTTAAATCAATGCTACATCAAATACGAATATGACAAAGTGATAAATTACTAGAAAAGAGTAAAAAAAGAGTTTAAAGTATGTAGATTTCACAATGATGTATAGTTGTCAAAGCGTTTCAAAAAAGCAACTTCATCAGGCGTAATAACAATATGTGTCAACACAGTATTTAATGATTGGTACGTTGTCAGGGCTCGCACAAATGGTATAGGGTCAAACTGGACTTCGTTTTTGAGGTTAGAAGCAACAGGGATATCGTTTTTAAAGGTACTGGGAGGAGCTCCGAAAAAACTCGACAAGGATGTCAGGTTTCACAAGCTGAATGTGTTCTTTCGCAAGCGCCGTTTTCAAACGCAAGACTCAAACAAAGAGATGGCTTGTTTACAGCGCAACAATCTCACGACATGGATTTGTGTTATATATATCAATAATACTCCAGTCTTATACAAGAAGTTTCAAAAGTTATATGTCCTATACCCGTTCCAGAACATGTACTTGAACTTGAACACGCTGGATAGTGACATGAAGTGCGCTGTGCCTCCTCACAATTTATTGCTTTTCTTGTTCTCCAAACTGAAGCAGTAGTGCTTGTTCAATCAAAGCCCCGCAATCATGCTTATCAGCAAAGATGTATAAATGCTAAGGAAAAACAAGACCAAACTTCTTGTCCAACCGACCGAAGAAGTTCACTTCAAAAACTTGGTACAGTCGAGTAGATTTAGCGGTAAATATAGTGTGCTTGCACAGAAGGTGAAATGCGGTGAAATTTGCGCGTGAACAAGTAGCCACGTCAGTACCGCGGGTATCTTCGCGCAATTGGCCGGCGTCACAGTCGAAACTATTTCTTCACGCGCCAATTTCACCGCATTTCACCTTTTGTGCAAGCACACTATATTTACCGCTAAATTTACTCGACTGTACTTAATGAAAATTCGGGAAACAATCAACAAAGAATAGAGACGTTGCTTTTCGTTGATATGGTCCTATGTTAGGTTGCTATTTTCAATCGAGAACAGTCTTGTTGATCTACATGCCAGGGGCGACACTTTTTCTAGGCTTTACATCCCAGTATGTTGTCACATAGAAGTTTTTGATTTTTTTCGATCTATATACAGTTCGATAGGCTAAATTCTGTAATTTTATAAGTGATTCAGCCTGTTTCGCCTCCATTCGTAAGTAACGATCGCTGAAAGCTAACACCGAAACGAAAGGTGGGGTAAACGAGATATTTTGGACTCCTAGTTCTACAACTGGCCGCGTCTGAATGAGATTTATGCTGTGGAGGAGTCACAAGGATCATGCTTTATAATGAGTGCAATAAAGACATTTATTCACCTTTGAAACGAAGTTAACTATGTCCAAAAATGAACATTTCGGTTAGGCAGCTCAATATCTCTGGAGCTTCAGAAATTGCCAAAACCTCACCGACGATGGGTTCGCTGACTAAAGTCTTCATAAGGGCAATCCACCTTACACTTCCTTGTTATTTTTTGCAACCACTATGAATGGGTGATACACACCATGAAATGATAATGTTTATTCAAAAGAGGATCTGGAAGCAGTATGAGAATTAATCATAGGGCGAATCATTGTTAGATTAAATGGAATGTTTCTAAACTGGGGAAATACAGCGTTTTCATAAATCTAAACAGGAAAAATGAGAAGTTTTAGGAACAAACAAATAAGAACAATGTAAGGCAGATTTATTTTCGGCATATTATGCTTTTGCCCGTTAGCATTTTAGCACATGGAAAGATTTTAAAAGCATAGCATTAAGCGCTAATGTAGCACCTAGTGCCTTCTCAATCTATCAGCATCGAATAATGGAGTGTCACCATATAAAAGTCCCATCAAAACAATACCGCATAAACTCCAGTTTGTTCTTAACTCCGTTCTATTGCCTTGATTCTCACCTTACACTTTACGTTTGGCTCTTCATTATGTTTTCATCATTGTAGCAGTTATTATTTCAGCGCAGAGCAATCGCAACACTCTAGCAGTCATGATTTGTTGGAGAGCTATACTCACGGTATGGAATCTAGTGTAAGTATTGAGAAAATGATTCGCGAACTTTCAGGTATCGCTTATTGCTTTGGTGCAAGCTTACCAGAAACCTCCTCCAATCCAAATACCTCCATCTGGACCTTATCCATCTCCTCCTCACAGCCCACAAGGTCCAAATTTTCCGTCTGATCCGCCTAAACCTTGGGGCAAATGGAACATGCGTTGGTAGTCCCGTAAATGGTTGTCATCCCTGAAGATGGCTAAAACCTTTCCATTGTATGCGCACTTCAACCACCTGCTATACAAATATATATTGAGGATGTTCTCAATAAGCTCAAGAATTGTTCTACGATTCCCTCTTCCATGTCTTGAAGTAAACGTGTATTGATAAACAGTTTTTTGCTTTTGTAAAATTACTGGGGGCGGTGTGTCAATCTCCCGTTTGGGTGAGCTCAGACGCAAGTGCCCACGTCCACGATGCGAGAACGTGGAAGTGCAACCTTGCAAGAGCCTAGCCAGGCAGAATCGGGTAGGTTTGCAACGCTTGGCATAGGTGCGATAGGGGGAGCCGCTCTCCCCAGGTGAAGGGGGTCTCGGCTGTTCCCGACCTTCCAGGGTGAAGGGGGTATGTGAGTCTAGGGAGGGGGGAGGAAGACAGAAAAGTTAAAAAAGCGTGGCATGAAGAGCTTTAATTTGTACCTTGTTTAGGCACAAATTGAAAAAAATTTACAAATTTTCAAAAGAAATTAAAAAATTTTAAAAAATTTGATTATGAAGATCTGTGCTCTTGTTTCACTGCATCAACAAAAAACGAAAGCAATAAGATTTATCCCAAAAGATGTACAAGTTAGGAACAACTTCATTTCCTGCACATCATCATCAACAATATCACTATCGCTAACGTCAGAGACAACAAGTTCGCTGGCTGAAAAATCTTCTTCTTTCTCCAAAAGGTCATCGGAGTAGAAGTAGAATTGCGTGCAAAAGCGTTCTGAGTCGAAAAGGGATTTAAAACTTTCTTCTTCTTCTAAGCGCTTTTGTGATTTTTTTCCTGGCCCTCTGGTAGCACCAGGAAGTTAGCAGGTAGGTACCAGTTTCCTCATAGCATCTTTTAGGATATTTTAAAAAGTCATACGGTAACAGCCTGTCTGGACCACTTATACCAATTTTTTAAATGAAGTTTTTGGATAACAATGTGTTTAGTAGAAGGTTGACAAATCTTAAGTATTTGCTTAGATGCTCTATCGTTGTACGACTTTTGCGTTGTATTCTGATAACAGAGTAGATAGAAAATTTCTTTCTCCACCTCTGCCGTGCTAGTCGGAATGGAAACTAGCTTTGCTAGTAAGTCCAACAGATTTTTGCGGTAAGTAATGGGAAAAGAGCCAGATCGCATATGCTTTCGCAACACGGGATGGAAATAGTGCATACTTTTTTGGGCCTCGTCGAACTCTGGCTTCACCTCCTCTGGCATACGTCCTGTTAACTGATTAGAAAGCTGCTCAACTTCTTCTTTAACAGCATCTGCGGGATAGCCAAAAAAAGGAGGTACTATGCTGCGCGTTGATTTTTTTCATATCGTAGGTCATAATGTCACAAGGCGAATAACTTCCAAAAGCATAAAGCACAGAGTTGGGTTCGCACTCCAGCCGGGATCTAAGTGCGGTAACTATGCTTTGTACTAACACCTTCCTTTTGTCCATATCCATGTTTGTGAATTCAGCAGCCTTGAATTCTTCAGCAACCTGAAGATCAGCAGTGGACTTCCTGGACATTTCCTCATTGAAACTAGGCAATCTGCTTGGAGTCCTTGTGTAGGAAATCAGAGAGTTTCACTCAATTGTCAACTCTGTATCAATGTCGACAACATTTTCGGCGGCGTAAAATTTTCCTTCTGCCTCGCTGTGGAACTGGAATACATGCGAGTCATCTGCGATTTTGTAAAGTCTTCTGCCTGCCGTTTCCTCTTCAAACTGCCAACCTTTCCAAAACATTGAGGAATATTTTAATAACATGTTATTCTTCTGAATGTCTTAGAGTTTTTGATTCATTGAAACCAACCATTCTCTACAAATTAGGTAAGGTGAGTCTAGAGCGTTTTCACAAAAGTGACTTTCTTCAGCACTAGGTTTATAGAGCATAGATTCCAGAAATGGGCGGGTTTTTGTGTGAAGTTGTAAAAAATCACTAATCTCCCATAGTTTTTTGAGTGTGTGCTAATAATGATGGCATAACTGTCAATCAAAAGCGCATTTTTTACCAAAAAAAACATAAACATATAACAACGATAAGCTCGCTCAAATAGACGCGTTCGCTCACGTTCCCGTTAGTGCTGATAACGATGTCAATCCACAGTACATTTTTTACTACTAACTTGCTCCACCTCGCTCTTATTAGGTCGTCCAGAAAGTTTTTGCGCATGAATTTCAAAATTCATAACTTCTGATTTTTCCAACCGATTTGACTGCTTTCGCTTTTATGTGAAAGGGTAAGTCATGCTCTTTATAATGACATCTCAGCTGCTTAGTAATGGTCATCTGTTGCATAGATAGGAGCGATAGAAGAAAAATGGTAAAAATTTTAATTCTTTGTGTAGGGTCATAAAAAAACGGAAACTTGCAAGAAAAATCGGAGCAGCCAGTATTGTAGGTTCTTGTACCAGCTCTTTTTAACAGTGCAAAGTTTGTGCCGATAGAGCGTCTCCATGAAAAGTTATGATTTTACTGAAAAATGCCAAAATAAATCAAATTCGCCTTTTTGTAATGCTTGCTCGGAAATCATAACTTTTCATGGAGACGCTCAATCGGAGCAAACTTTGCACTTTTATAAAGAGCTAGTGAAAGAACCTATAATACCGACTGCTCCGATTTTTGTTGCAAGTTTCTGATTTTTTATGACCCTACACAAAAATTCAAATTTTGAGTGATTTTGGTTTCGAGCTTCTATCTATGCAAAAGATGACCATTACTAAGCAGCTGAGATGTTATTATAAAGATCATGACTTACTCTTTCACATAAAAGTGAAAGCAGTCAAATCGGTCGGAAAAATCAGAAGTTATGAATTTTTGAAAATTGTGCGCAAAAACTTTCGGGACGACCTGTACAATGTGTTGGTTATTATGGGTCACCGAAGCAAATGATTTTTAGAGCCGGGAAGCAAAGAAGCTCTAACATGCTGTATACCATTCGAAAGCTGAGATCATGGAAAATCGACGTAGACCGTCGACTTTTTTCTAGGTTTTCTGTGCCGCGAGATATGAGGGATTTCATGTGCTTCAAAAATTAACTGATTTTGTGTCCTCACTTTCTGCTCTCCAAATGAATGCTACGAGAAAGTCGACGGTCTACGTTTGTTAATGAAGACTAGCTCTTTAACATAGATAGATAATCAGCAGTGATTAGGTCTTCATTTGGCAGAAATCTGCTGTTGAATATAACCATGTTTTGAGATAAAATGCGGTGTATCTCTCGGTAGAGGGGGGCTAGAAAGAAGTCGACGGTCTAGGTCGAATCCCCTTTTCCTGAGCTTTCGAATGGTATATAGGTTGCTGCGCAAAAAAACTAACCAGTTTTCGAAAATGGGGTGGAGATATTTACTATTAGCTTGCTCCAATCCAGCTCCACCAATGTATTGGCTTTTATCGGTTACCGGAGCAAATGATTTTTAGAGCCGGGAAGCAAAGAAGCTCTAACATGCTCTATACCAATCGAAAGCTGAGATCATGGAGAATTGATGTAGATCGAGACTTTTTTCTAGGTCTTCTGTGCCGCGAGATATGAGGGATTTTATGTGCTTCAAAAATTAACTGATTTTGTGTCCTCACTTTCTGCTCTCCAAAATGCTACGAGGATAAATAAATGATGTAAATAAACATAAATACCGCTTCTTTAGCAAATTTATGAGTGTACTTGTTGTTTGAGGTGCTTAGCCTGCAAAACCTTTTAATAACGATTTTTATCATATTCTCAGAGTACAATACCACAGCCCAGGTGAAGGGGGTCATCGGGAGTTTGGCCGCAAAGTGAAGGGGGTAAGATCCATCACTCCCCCTATCGCAACTATGACGCTTGGTCACCCGTCCGATCTCGCCGGCTGTAATATAAGAAATAGCGCGTTTTTTTTTGATTATGTGGCCGAAAAAGTTAGTAAATCGAACGATTAACATACTAGTCAACAACCAAAATTTTGTTATCGTTATGTTGCAAAAAAATTTGTATGATTTGAATTTTAATCTATTCAATCTTAGGATTTACAAGAGACTCAGAGACCGGATTGGAGAGATTGGGCTCTGCAATTCATGTAAATTTCATAATTAAATCGAATGAAATCTCAAAGCGGACAAATATTGCAGCATAGCAATTATGGAATCTACTAAAATGTGAACCATTCGATTTACCAACGTTTGACCACATAATCAAAGAGATGCAATATCTTCAAATTTACAGCCAAGCGAGATCGGGCAGGTGATAAAGCGTTGCAGACCTACCGGATTTTGCAAAACCGGGCTCTTGCATCAGGCGCCCACGTCCATGCATCATTTTCCTTAAGTGCCAAGACAAACTCATCGTCGATGACAAACACTAATCTTTTCAGGAATTATGCTTTTGATTTAGTTGCTCTAGTGGCAATTAATTCAAAAGCATTACTAAAATGATTACAAATTTTATGATTGTGGGCTTTAAACCCATAGATTTTACTATGCCCAACTCAGACTTTTTTGATTGTCATTTTGAACTTCTAAAAGAGCTTTGTTGACAAGTGAATAGACTTAACAAATTTGGTGTTGTTGGGCATCTCTAAATCTCTCTACCAAAAACTTTCAGAGTGTTTTTCATAATTCTCATAATCCATACCGATGATCCCCAAACCTTATAAGAAATCCATCGACAAGCAACTTGGGTAGCATCAAATGTAGATTTTTTTCTCCTATTTTGAAAGCCCTTCTCTTTGCTGACTGGGATCTCATGGGAAATCATTATAAGTCTGGTTTTATAACGTTTCCCAGATGTACGCCAAAAATGCAAAGCCTAATATTTCGTAGCTTGAACGTTCATTTCGTAAAATTAATGTTGAGTTGTAACCGTCTTTTAAAAATTTCCAATTCCAAAGATTCATTAGTGTTCGATACGTGCGTGTTTGACAGATTTCGTAGAAGTGCATATGTCGAAATTCATTTGAAAATACTTGTAAACAAAGGCAAATGTTCAAAAATTCTACAATTTTGCACTTTCTTCCTCTAATCATTTGTTATCAGACTTTCTGAAAATCTAAAATAAAATCTTAGAACATTGCTGAAACTGCGTGCTAAAAACAATAGGTTTAAAATTCAGCGACTGTCCTAATGTCACGAGTACAAGACGAACCTCTTTCATATCTTCCAAACACCTCGGGCGCACCACTCAAATCGCGAAATGTTCGCAGGAGCAGCACGATAGAGAGTCTTCGGTCGCAAAATTTTATGGTGTGTTCAGGCTGGTCGAGTTTACAAAAAACAGGTGCCTGAGTGATATTCGTGAAACAAAGATAAATTAAAGACTGCAGAAGCAAACAGCGCATGCAAGATGGAGCCAAAATAAGATAAAAGCAGCGTTTAACAGTGCAAAGAACGTATGCCTCACTTTGATCCGCAATCGGAAAAAGGGTAACAGCTTTCGGAACGACGACACGTATGCAAAGCAGCACCAGCAAAAGATGGTTTCGATGCGGCCAAATTACTTACCGTTCAAGCATTTGTAGTCCACTATGCATACATATCGCTAACGCCACTCACAACATCCGTGTCTGCCGGTGGCTCATTCAAAAAATTTTTACTTTATCTATTCTTCCTATGCATGCATAGGCGCTACAGTAAGTCAAGCCGCAATTGAGAGTCATGCGTAGGTTGAAGGATCGACACATCGGTTTGCATGTTTACAAAGAACGAATTGGAAGAGCAGGCCAAAGACATCCGCCAAAGATAGCGTTTATACTGCAACAAGACAACAGCGGCCAAAACGGATCAACTATCATCACTAGCAGTAAATACCACAAGTTAGTGACCAAACTGACGCGCATTGCGGTACTGCGCATGAAATGATGGCAATCAAAATTGAAAGGATGACTAAGACTTTGAGTAAAGTTTGCTTCTCCCCGTAGCTCGGATGCACCGTTTTGAAAAACATGTTTTGGAAAAACTTCAACACTTTACCACAAACATTCGCTACCGCAGACTATAGTACACCTTCGTAGGAGTGATCTTAACACATTTCGGACCGCGAGTGTACTTTCAGTCATTTGCCAACAAAGGGACCACGTAAATTGTGTGCTACATCTGTAATCAGCTTGTCAGATAAGTTCCATGCTCAAAGTTCTGAGTGGATTCGAAGCGTTCAAATTTTGTCGCTTGTGAAGGACCTCTGCGCTTTCCTGAGGGATAGAAACAAGAACTCAGTCTCTAATAGTATCCATAAGTATTGTTGTTGTAAACGGTACACATCAGTATTGAAACTACGGTTTTTCTCTTTGGCACAACTCTACAGGGTCATTTGAAAAGTAGAAGCTCAGGCCTTTGCCTTGATTATCTTGGACTAAAAGAAAATCTTCTGTAAACGTCAAAAAGATCTTTAAAGCAGCGTGCTGCACCATGTGCACCGGTCCGAAAGGTGTTAAAGGACACGTTGGGCACGCACATAATGTGCCTAGTTATAGTGGAAATGGATACGAGTCAGAAGACCGCCGAAGCACAGCAACCATTGGTAACACATTCTACAAAAAGCCTGAATCACATTTGATCACTTATGCGAGCGCTCAACTTCGTCATTGCCATTTGACGATTGACTATAGTCATCCTACACCGCTACATGCATTTACACTGCAACGTCGCCTGCAGTCAACTCTACATTTATGGCTTCTTTGCGTTCAATTCTGGAAACCCCTCTAATTTACCAAGGATCTCCATTCTCATATTGCTGAATAGAGTTCCATTTGCATCTAGACCAAGAAGGCGACGACAAGAAAATCAAGTAGTAGACGCTTTCTGAATCTCAAACAGCGCCAAGCTTGCAAACTTTGTATGCATCGCAGTTTTTATTGCGTGTCATTATCCGCCCCGCGACGCGCTTACCTAGTTTGCAACGTGTTGAATATAATCATGACAACAACAGTAAAACAGCTGTCTTAAGTTTACTCTGCTTGAAATTACTTTAGCACCGTTGAATCGTGGAGCACAAAATAATTCTTTGTTCAATGACCTACACTCGTAGTACCTAAAACACCAGTAATTCGTTCTACTGGTAGATAACTTTGAACATGCATCTTTCTATTCTGTACTAGGGGAAACAGCGGAAACTGCGCATATGAATTCTGCATTTGAACAAAACAGTTGTCATAACTTTATTCTGCTTGAAATCGTCTCTTCAAACCTATGTTTCATCGTGACGTGAACTTTTGTGTGAACTTAGGACCGTTGTTGGTATTTTCACAGATCAAAAGTGTTTGAATTTTTTCATCCGTGCTCCGCTCAAGGAACATCCATTGTTCATTGTTGGAGAGGTAGTAGACACGACCTTCTGGTGTACCCGCTGAAACGATTTGGCCACCATCCTGAAAAATTGCAGCCAAACTATTACTCCGATGAGGAAATTAAAAGTCACCGAACTTTCAATGAAATGCGCTCTTCTGTGTAAAATCTCTGATCTACTGGCAGATTTCTCTAAAGCGTTTGTGCGCTTATGATTATTCACACAAGTAGCGAATAGCTCACATTTGCTTCAATCACATTATGATAGCGATTGAGACGTTTTCTTGCAAGATCATGTGCTTGATTCACAGAGACTTCGTTATTGATTGTTTCCACCACAGGCTAAAGTATCTCTCGAGTACTGAATTTGGAGGGCTAATCGCTTACAAGTGAAGGCTCTGCTTCCGACGCTCTGCTATCCACAGAAGGGATAACCATTCCGACCTCGTGCGAGAAATAGCTCTAGCCAACTGAGCAATCTTGCATGAACGGTCTCCAAGTACACATAACTTAGTGCTAATGACACTGACCATAACGGAAGGACACTCATAATGGAAGATCGCTTAGTGGAAGCGGCGGGTATGGATACGAAATAAGAACGGAACAATACCAATTTTATAACTGCATATTTATCTGCGAAGAGTCAAGTTATAGCTTCTAAGCTTCTTCTTTCCTCTATTTGATTGCTACTGAGATGCTTGATCAGATATCAGTGCATGACCTCCGCTTCCCAGAGGCTCCCACTATTCTACAAACTAAAGTCGAATCAAATCATATGATCACGTGTGTCATTGCACCACACACCGCCCCCAATTTTAGCGTTTCCATCGAGTCTAGGAGGAGGCAACTTTTCAGATAAGTGTTTTCAATGCGTTTCTAATGCTCTCTTTCCTTTTCAGGTACAATTTACCTGAAAGTGTTGTAAGCGATGTCAATCGGTCAGCCTCTTGCGTTTTTGCAATTGCAAATCCAGGATGAGGACGTCAAATGTGGACATTGTGTGCGAAAGCACACATGATTATATAGAACCAGTGCGTCACCTCTGCTTCGCAGAGGCTCGCACTGGCCCTACTTTCTATATGCCTTGCTCATTCCCGCATAATAGTGACATTGAAACTTACCGCGCTATGCAGGCTATCACGAATGAATTGTAAACAACTACTCATTCCGAGAGCTTTTTTGTGTGAGATCGGTATTTTCGCGTGGATGAAACTTTTCCGAGAAGGATAAATGCAAATTTGAACCGATTTTTGGACTTTTTATGGTTTAATAGTCGCTATAATGACGATGATCACCGCGGGCTACATCTCTGTGCAAAAATCTTCCCAAATGATTAAGTAAAATCTTGGCAAATTGAACATTTACGCAACTGATTTTTCTCGGCGCCATTTTTGTAAAGTAATCAACTTTAGTTCAATTTTTTGGGCTAAAGTCCATGGCTTGCACATTAGCTTGTTAATCATATCCATGACTTTGCAAAAAGTGGTGGTACAGGCCCAATTTTGCTGTTCAGAAGCCAAGTGGATCCGTTTGCAGCGCAGTTTTTGAGGGATCCAGTCAACGGGTCCGCTCGTGCTTTTGCATAGCGGACTTTCATGCTGCTAGCATGCACCGTGCAAAATTTGGGCTCAAGAGGTTGGCTGGAATTCGCTCTACGAATTTCGTAACGGACAGACACACACACACAAACACGTAAACAACCCCTAGCCCGGTATTATAAGTTATGATGATTCGACTGTACATGTCTTACGCAATATCGCATGGTGGTGGTTTTGAGACTCACCGCGCAGCGCTACATGAATGAAATGTAAAAAACTATTTATTTCGAGACTTTTCACATTTGAGATTGGTATCTGGAAGGGGGCTTTTGCAGAAGAGAAACTGCTAATTGAATAAGTTATTGAATTTGAAAACCTGGCATTAATGACATTGGCCACCTTTAGCTACATCTCTCAGATATCATTTTAAATTTATGAGTGAAAATTTGACAAACTGACCATCTACGTTATTCCCTTATAGCACTCCATTTACAGCATCGCTAACGCAAAGTGATGAACTTTCAGTCATTTCTTGAGCTAAAGTTTTTATGGCCTGCAGGTTTACCGAATAATCCCATGATTCTACAGGATACACGCACCGATCCACTCATGCTTTCACGTAGTGAATCTACATGCGTTCCCAAAGTGCGAGTATACCACATGCAAAAAGAGAAATGTCATAGAAAAAGCTGCAAAACTCTGCTAACAACCTAATAAATCATTTTTGCCCTCGTGTATTGCTTTCTTGATCATAACTTTTCTAGTGATTTTCAGTCGGCACAAACTTTGCGAATTCAAAAATAGCTAGTGATAAAACCTATGATATTGACTGCTCCAATTTTTACTGCAATTTTTAGATTTTTTACGATTTTACACAGGAAACTCAATTGAGTATTTCGTCTGTCGCTTTTATCTATGCAAAGTTTGCTTAACAGGAAGCCGCTAACTAACTAACTAACTAGCTTGTAAGATAACGAAAAGTATGATTTGCTTCCAATAGAAAATGGAAAACAACTGAGTTTTTTCACATGTGGCTTCGAAGAAAAGCTAGTTGACCAATATTCCCGGCTTGTTTTTGCTTTAATCTAGATAAAATACATAGTAAAATACAATACTTGCCGTTGTGCGAAGATTGACATCGTTTATAAAATAGTTGAGGAGACCTTTACGTCTCAAAAGACAAGTTTGGAAAGTTTGTCCAGACACCCTTACCTACTATAGAAATTTACATCAATAGGTTTTGAAGACATTACAGATGCTTTCTCTAATAAAACCTCTTCTAGTATAACAACATTTTGGTGCTTTGAGCCTAGAGCTCTTCAACTGGCGAGCATTCCGTAAAGGTTCAGTGAGCAGTGGAAGCGCAAGAAAAAATCTTCTGGGTATTGCTCATATTTTGATAATTGCAAAACATTTAAGCAAGTTTGCAGGATCTACTTGGATGGAGATCTGAATTGTGGGCATTTAAACTTTTTGCTCTCAAACTTTATGAATCGAACTTTTTGCAATTGCTACCTTGTGGAGCTTATTCTGCTCTATAAAATAATACGTTCCATACATACGTTTACCCTACCGCGGTAGCATGAGGAACCTGCACTAACTTCTGGGCAACCTTACGCATGAGCACAATTAAGGATTCCCTGCTATTCTCCAATGTGCCCATCGTCAGTTAAGCTTTGAGCGCAGATATTCCTTACTGTAGATGATCACAAAGGAAAATTTCACTTTGTTCTAGCAATCATGATACTACGTCTGCTGATTCTGGACTGATTCCTTGGAATTTTACCATAAAACTACCGCCTGTCAAAACACTATGATAAAGCTCTCATCCGTATTCCTGTACAACCTTTCCCTGTGCCAACGCCTACATGCCATTTCCCTACTTCCGCTATGTCAGTAATCAGCATGCTCGGTTACCCCTGTGCCACCTCCCAGCCCGTGGCTCAAACTTTGCAAAAAAATCGATAAAATCGATAAAAGTAGCCAATAATTCCAAAAACTAATATTGTATTCGTAATCAGCATGCTCGATCCCCCTGCGCCAACTTCCAGCCCCGTAGGTGGACTCTGCAAAAAATCGATAAAAATCGATAAAATCGATATCGATCAATGACGAAAAGTAGCCTATGACACCCGCCCCGCCCCGAAGTGTATTTGTGCCATGTTTGGTCCGAATCGGTCCAGAAATAAAATTTTCTATTCAAAGCATAAGTACCATTCAACTGGCTTGGCTTCGGCAAAGGCGGGGCTTCGTGACCAATTAAGACTAGGTAATGATCAGAGGGCACTCGCGTGAGAGAGACGCAGGTGCGTCGCGGGCGCGAACGGCCTCAGTTAGATCACAAAACTCCGCCGTAATGGAGCCAAGCCGGTTGAATCAAAGGTTACACACAGACATACAGACAGACATACATACATACAAACAGACATTCAGCTTTGTATATATATATAATATATTATTTCAAGTAGCGTGTCCAGCGGCAATTCTTAGAGACCAACTTCTTTGTTTTTTCGGTTCCCCTAATGAAGTCCCATTCATATGCATTCATTGATTTCGAGACTACCTCCGTATCTCTCCAAGCTGTATGAGCGTTTTCCCGAGCAAAGCTAAAAACTTTTGTTAGACGCATTTCTTCCATAATTCTTGTCGGATTTTCTAGATCCTTGTTGAATTCCTTACAATGTAGGGGAAAAGCACGACATTTACCTACTTTTAGTTCCTCGTGTGCGCCTTTTAGCACAGGAGCATAGGTGATTGATGGACCGCGCGGAATGGCCGATATTGCGGTGGTCGCGACGCGCTATCACAATTTTGCAAAAACACGACTTGTGCAACGGCAATTTGTGTTGAGACAAACGTTTTACTGCGTATTGTGCGCTCCTCAGTGACGGGCAGTACGTGCCATTGATGGATTAAACCTTGCTGTAGTAGCAAGAGGTGTCGTTAGAAGCACCGTCCACCTAGATTCTCGACATGTTTGTTCTGGGGCCATCTCATGTCTCCTTTCGAAAATACAGTCGAGTATACGCGAAAACCCCGACTATTTCCGTTCTACGCAGTCGGTTCCCCGCACGGTGATTGGATGGGCGCGCACGGAGTGGCGGGCATTACTGGAGGGGCGGTGCCAACTTAGGGTCCTCATGCATCTTCGCTATTTCGGAGCGATTTTCTTGCTCCCGAAGTGATACTGTGCCGCAATATGGGCATTGACCTGATAGGTTTAGTGAGCTGCCAAAAGCTCAAAACCCCTAACTTAGGGTGGACGGTGTCTTCAATGTGTTGTGTAATCAACCAGATCTGCGGTGGAAGTTTTATTGATCTGAGCTTCCAACTTCTTCTTCTTCGTTTCGATTTCTCGTTCTCTTCGGAGGTTTGAAAACGGATCATAGGCTCTGGTTTGCTAACCATACCTACAAGCGGACTCCAATACTGCCGTTCTAAACCTAGCTTAAGCCTTCCTATCTTCTGGTCGCGTTTCGATTTTCAAGGAGAGACTTGGTTTCTGTTTTTGATCCCATTTTCATCCGACTGAGCATGTCATCGTATAAGTGATCAAGCTAAACGGTCACTATACGATTGACCTTTCACGGGGCCATAAAGCATGGCCCCCGTGTTTGGTTAATCGCTATATGCGGTATAAAAGCCGGGATGGCGCTAGATAAGGGCTTCACCTCTTGATCGCTTGTTCTCCTTTTCCACACGTTTCTCTCTACCGAACGTTGTGCATTGTTAATAGCGATTGTTAATAAAATTGTTATATCTGAACCAACGTTGTAACATCTTGGTGCATCGGCCGGGAAAGTCGAGCCACATAAGTAACGAACAAAGTCTAGGCTACCATACCTAGCATAAAAGACCAGGAAAATCCCTGGAACATACCTAGGCTACCAAACCTAGCAATAATCGAACTAGGACAAAAACTTAG